CAATAATGTTCACAGCATCTTCACCAGGAGTAGATTTCATCTCAAGAAACTATTTCTTTGCTTATCCGTAGGAATAAAATCCTCACCTGTTCAAGTTCTGTCATGAGATTATAGCAATTCAGTCCCATCTTCAGGCTCTACTTCTAATTCTGTTCTCTTGCTATTTCTACCACATCTGCAGTTACTTCCTCCACTGAAGTCTTGAACCTGTCAAAGTCATCCATGGGAACTAGAATCAAGTTATTCCAAATTCCTGTTAATGTTGATATTTTTGACCTCTACCCCATGAATCACGAATGTTCTTAATATCATCTAGAACAGTGAATCCTTTCCGGGTTTTCAAGTTGCTTTGCCCAGACCCATAGAAAAATCATGATCTGTGGCAGCTATAGACTTACCAAATGTATTTCTTAAATACTAAGACTTGAAAGTCAAAATTACTCCTCGATCCATGGGCCACAGAATGAATGTTGTATTGGAAGGCATGAAAACAACATTTATCTCCTTGTATTTCTCCATTAGATCTCTTGAGTGACTAGGTGCATTGTCAGTACGCAGTAATATTTTGAAAGGAATCTTTTTTTCTGAGCAGTAGGTCTCAACAGTGGGATTAAATTATTCAGTAAATCGTGTTGTAAACAGATGTGCTATCATCCAGGCTTTATTGTTCCATTTTTAGAGCATAGGCAGAGTAGATTTAGCAAAATTCTTAAGGGCCCTAAGATTTTTGGAGTGTAAATGAGCACATGAATTCACCAGCTGCATTAGCCCCTAACGAGAGTCAGCCCGTCCTTTGAAGCTTTGAAGCTAGGCATTGACTTCTCCTTTCCAGCTGTGAAAGTCCTAGATGGCATCTTTTTCTAATAAGAGGCTCTTTTGTCTACCTTGAAAATCTGTTGTTTACTGTAGCCACCTTCACCAAAGATATTAGCTGAATCTTCTGGAAAAGTTGCTGCAGCTTCTGTATCAGCACTTGCTGCTTCACCTTACAGTTTTATGTTATGGAGATGACTTCTTTCCTTAAACCTAATGAACCAGCCTCTTCTAGCTTCACACTTTTCTTCTGCAGCTTCCGCAGCTCTCAGAATGGAAGAGAGTTAGGGCCTTGCTCTGGATTAGGTTTTTACTTATGGAAATATTGTGACTGGTTTGATCTTCTATCCAGACCACTAAAACTTTCTCCATATCCAGCAATAAGGCTGTTTCATTTTCTTATCATTCATTTGTTCACTGGCGTAATATTTACAGTTTCCTTCAAGAACTTTTCTTTTGCATTCACAACTTGGCTAACTGGTACAAGAGGCCTAGCTTTCAGTCTGTCTCGGGTCTCAGCATGCCTTCCTCACTAAGCTTAATCATGTCTAGCTTTTGATGTAAAAGGAGAGATGTGCAACTCTTTCTTTCACTTGAATACATAGAGGTCATTGTAGGGTTATTAATTGGCATGATTTCAATATTGTGTGTCTCAGGGAATAGAGAGGCCTGAGGAGAGGGAGAAAGATGGGGAAAGGCTCATTGATGGAGCAGTCAGCACACACATATATATCGATTATGTTTGCCATTTTATATGGGTGTGGTTCATGGCACCCAAAAACAATTAGAGACAAGTAACTTGAAATTGACATACCCATTAAGCAAAGGAATTTCCAGTGGGTACAAGAATATAAATATCAAAGATCACTGACCACAGATCACCATAACAGATATAATAATAATGAAAAAGTTGGAAATATTGGAAGAATTACCGAAATGTGGCACAGAGACATGAAAGTGAGCACATGCTGTTGGAAAAAATGGCTCCAATAGACTCGCCCAATACAGGGTTGCCACAAACCTTCAATTTATAAAAAATGCAATACAGTGAAGTGCACTAAAACAAGGCATACCTATACTTACAGACAGAAAGCCCAGCAAAAATTTAATTCTCATCAAGGGAGAGATATACTTAACCCATTGCTTTACTTTTTTAAGAATTTTCAAATAAAATTCAGAGAGAAGATAGGCCTGTTTGACATTATGGAATAAATATTTGACTTTGTGAAGTAAAATAGCTTATAACAGAAAAAAAATGGAGAAGCCACGTAGCATGTAGCACGGGTTGAAGGACTAAAAATGAAAAGAATCCCAGTGATAGGAAGTTTTACTTAAATTTGATGACAACAAAAAACATGTAACTTTAAAAGTAAGCACCAATTTGTGGTACATTTTGCCTAAAACTGAAATGTCTCATCTAGAGTGGAAGGTAGAGGAAAACTTGAAATTGATCAGATTACTTCTGGTGTCCTGCTCTGATGTTATACACTCATTACAATAGCCAAGCTAGTAATGCTGATAAATTATTTCTCTTGGCCACATGCAAAGGTACAAGTATCTCCCAGTCATCTTGTTGGCAGATGGAATTTTCCCCATCATTTTCCATTCCCTTAATATTAACCATGAATTTACAGTGACCGAAAAGAATCCAACTCTGTACTGGGCAGTAAAGTTTAGAGACAAGTACCTTGAAATTGACATACCCAGGAAGCAAATGTGGAAGAACTTCTGGAAATTTCTAGTGAGTACAGGAATACTGAGATAACTGAGGTGTGATTCTTGCAATCAAGGAGTTCAGAGTATGGTAGGAGAGACAGGTGTTCTGTCAGCTCTGACACAATGTGGGAAATGCTGTGAGAACATTGTGATCACAGTGTGCTTAAGGAGCCAGGTAGGATTTCACAGAGGAGGTGAAATTTTCAACACGAGGTGAAATGGAAAGGCAGGAGTGCCCAGGTAACAAGGTTGGATAGTATCTTATGAGCAAGAAAACGTCACCATAGGTTGTTTTTGTTTTTGTTTGAGATAGAATCTTGCTGTGTCACCTAGGCTGGAATGCAATGGCATGATCTCGGCTTACTGCAACCTCTACCTCCTGGGTTCAAACGATTATCCTGCCTCAGCCTCCCAAGTAGCTGGGACTACAGGCGCATGCCACCACATCCAGCTAATTTTTGTATTTTTAGTAGAGACAGAGTTTCACCATGTTGGCCAGGCTGGTCTCAAACTCCTGACCTCAGGTGATCCGCCTGCCTTGGCCTCCCGAAGTGCTGGGATTACAGGTGTGAGCCATCACACCCAGCCCGCCATAGTTTTTTTACACAAGACAGTGGCATATTTCAACTTGTGTGTTAAAACTGGAGTCTTCAGTGGGAAAGAGAGCAGTTAGGAGGTCAGTATAAGCAACTTGTTAAAGTTACTCAGGAAAAATAAAATTCATGATGGCAATATAAAAGAGCAACCAATGTCTAGGTCTCCAAAAAAAAAAAGTTCATAGCCCACCCCACCCCCACCCTCCCTTCCTGGAATACTTGACTTTAAAGAGGAAACACAACCCTCTGGATAAGTTCTGGTCCAGAGGTTGGTTCTGCATCTCCAGGTCTGGTACACGTTGTTAAATCCATGTTCACACCTAAGCCTAGCAGCCAGAGGGCGTAGAAATCCTCAGGGGCCACCTGACTTGGCCATATACCATTTCTTCCTCCTGCCACTTTCTACTCTCTGGCCTGTGTTTTTAGAGTACTCTCTAGCTACAAGAAGTTTTTCAATAAAAATAAGCAATTTATCTGTGTTTTTAGTCTCGCAGAACTTTGGAAAGTAGCAACTTAATCCAAGCCATAAAATAGTGATGCATGTATTGTGGTGAAGCCTGAAGTTTCAGCTTTCTCAATGGAAACTGCTTCTTAATATTCGTATCTTTTATCTTTAATGTGAGATTTTCTCTATTGTATTCTAAGATTCAGGTTATATCAGCTTCCACATGGTTTTCTAACTTAAAATATCCTCTACATTTAACATTTTTGTAAAGCAAGGTAAAGATTTCAGAATATGCTTAAGGAGAAATGCAATACCAAGTGAGAGATATTATTTTGATGATGACGAAAATGATGATAGTTATAACAGAAACTGTTATATTGTGACTGTTATATGCCAGGCACTATTCTAAGCATGTGCATTTATAAGCTCCTTTGATACTATAACCCAATGAGATAACTGCATTTCCCCTTTCATAGACAAGATGATTCAAAGCACAGAGAACATAACAGATTTGCTCAAGAACACACAGCTAGTAAATGATGCGGTCAGGCTTAAACTCTGTCCATCTTGCTCAGAGTTCATGCTCTTAATCATTAAGCTGTGTTTGCTCTCTCCGATACTTTAAATATCCTATGCTTTTATATTTAAACATAATAAAATGTGCAAAAGTTTCAACTTCAAAAATATGAGTCTGCCAGCCTTAGGCATCTCGTTTAATTGTCCCCTCCTTGCCATCTAGTTCTAGGTGCAGGCAGTCACTATGCTTAGCTGTGAAAGCTACCTTCAAGGAACAGCAAGGAATCCAGAGCTGTTAGGAATGATACGGAAACAAATGTAATGTTTTTTACCTATATTGGTGTTCTGAGAAAATAGAAGCAGTAGAGTATTTATAAACATTTGTTAGCACTCAGGATTCTATAAGTTTGTCTTTGGTTCTCGGTGTCAGGCAAAATAACTGCTCCTATATTGAGGATGCAGGTTCAAAGGTGTGAGTTTGGTTTGCAGACTGGCCTCCGTGTTCCAGCATTGCTGAGACCCGACTTCGTTATCTAGAATGGGTTACCAATTATCAGGTGTGTGCTCTGGAAACTCATAGAATAGGCAACAGTATAGTTCCTGGAGCTCTGTCTTCTGGATAAATATTATATTCATTTCTGAATTTTATGTTATATGGATGACTAAAACAAAGGTGAAAATGGGGACATGATATGATTCCTGTTCTCCTGACACATAAACTTTAATCAAAAGCCACAGGGAAAAAAGATGTTAATGTGCCAGTTCCAGACAGCTGACAAGAGTGCTGCTCATGCTAAAGCCACTAAAGTCAGTACAGCAGTAACCATCTGTTATTGTCTCACTTTCACAGATCCACTTGGTCTTCACATTTTTATGTACAAATTCTTATTTCTTTTGTTTTCTCATTTGAACAGAGCATCACGGTCCACCATCAGGAACAAACTCAGCCAGGCAAAGCCCAGCCCTGCAGCACAGGCCCATGGGACAGTCACAGGCCAACCACATACCTGGGGACAGGTGGGGCTATTCTCAGGTTTTTTGTTTTTGTTTTTGTTTTCCGTATTCTCTCCTTATTGCTCTGCTATTCATAACCCCACTCCCCATCATCCACCCCCATACAGTAATGCAGATGCCAGCTGTTGAGGTCAAAATGACAACTCTTGCCTGTTCCTCAAATACCGTCCCCATTGCTTCCACCCACCCATTCAGTACCTTCGTCCCTCTTCCAGCCTCCATCCCAGGCACAGCATAATTATCCAATCTTGCCTGACATGTGAGGATTAGAAAGAAATGACAGTAGCATCTGGCTCTGCTACTCTTGGTCCTCCTAGTTTTCATAGGGAAACTGCAGACCCATATGGATTGCTATCGTATCAGGCCACCTGAGCAGAGCAGGTTTCTGTGTGTATTTCTGTCCTCTTTCATTGAAAATATTAGCCTTGAAACAAAAACTAGATTTCCAGAAATCCAGCATCTTCACGGGCATTGGTGCTGCAGGAGAGCCATTTTTCACTGAGACAGGGTCAGCTTAACTGCCCTCTGGTGTAGTTATTTGGTTGCAGTTTCCTTTGATATAAACTGCTCTGAGATGTCCTTACAAAAATTGGGGATATTGACAGACTTCAAGATATGTTGGAATTAATGGCCAGGTTTCTCCTAGCGCCCCTCTGATTTTAGATATAGTCTGTCTTCACAGTGGTTTGTCAGAGGGAAAAATGGCAAGGTTGAGCTTTTAAAAGAAAAGAAATTAATCTGCCTTTAGACTGCTTTTCATTTTCTCAGGTCAGAGAGTGACTTGATTTCTCTCTCTTGTAGAAGTGGCCTAGAAGGTGAAATTGGAAAAGATGTCTCCACTTCTTACAGACATTCTTGGTCAGACCACAAGCATCTTGCACAGCCTGACACCGCAGTAATTTCAGTTGTAGGCAGTCGGCACAATCAGGTAAACAAACACTCCCCCAGACGGGGAGTGATATTTTGAGTTGCCATACCACTGGCATTGGTGAATTTTTATTACAAATCAGTTCAGATAAATTTGTTTGCAAAACTAATAATTCTCAAAGACCTGCCATGTGTTTGGCATTCTGCTGGCATCCACGGGAGACTATCAGGTGTGAAAGAAAATTTCCCCTATAGCAAGAGAATTTTGAACCCTTGGTTAAGTACTTAGCAGTAAATAGTATTTTATATAATCAAATTAGGGTTTTTTGTTTGTTGTTTGTTTTTCAGGAAAATTAGTCAAATGCTACTTAAAGGAAGCACTTTCCAAAATTCTGTTCTCTGTTCCATTGCACATTGACCAACTAGAAAGGACATGTAACCTTCAGATTAGTTTAGGCCACATTTATAAAAATTAAGGAGCCCTTTAACGAAAACCTACATTCCTTCTTTACAATATAGAAATGCACATTGAGAGTATAAATCATTTCCCCTAGCTATAGAAGTAATTTTTCTTCAAAATGTAAATAAACAGTCCATGAGAACTTGCTTTTCTTATACTTCTTTCTCTCTAGAGCCTTGGTTGTTACCCAGTAGAGCTGGAGAGAGGCCCCCGGGGCTTTGGATTCAGCCTCCGAGGGGGGAAGGAGTACAACATGGGGCTGTTCATCCTTCGTCTTGCTGAAGATGGTCCTGCCATCAAAGATGGCAGAATTCATGTGAGTTGGTTTCTGTCTGTAACCTTAGGTTCAGGCTCTAGACTAGAAACTTCAAAAGATATTAATAATTGATTTAAAAGGATGCAGGAACCTCCTACATCTAAAAAGCAGGATTTGTCGTCACTAATACCTCAAAAAGGCAAGTGCTTGTCATTTTGCTTTTCTAATGCCCTGATGATTTCATTTCTTCTCTTCAGTGTGCTAAACTGTATTACAGTTATTCTACTTTGCCTTCTTGACCTTGGTCAATAAGAAAATTCATTTCTTATTCACATAGTCAACATCTGAGGGTAAATGAATTAATAAATACACTTTTCATCTTAATAAGAGTCTTGAGAAAGCAAGGATCAAATAGAATCTTTAACTTCTTCCAGGAAACAATAGGTCCAGGATTTTTACCCCCCTCTTAGCTACCTAGAGAGGTAACTAGAGGCTGAAAAGCGTGGCTCTCAATACTTCTTACTGTTTGAAGGACTAGAATTCACATCAGTAGTATTCCATCACAGATGTTCTCACTCTGAAACACTGTGACTTCATATAGGGCATTGCAGACCAAGTTGTTTCTAGATCTGCATAAGATAGTTTTTCCCTCTTCTCTGGTTGTTAATTAAAGAAGAATCTTATGTAGAAGACATTTGCTGCCAGGCGTGGTGGCTCACGCCTGTAATCCCAGCACTTTGGGAGGCCGAGGCGGGCAAATCACCTGAGGTTGGGAGTTCGAGACCAGCCTGACCAACGTGGAGAAACCCTGTCTCTACTAAAGATACAAAAATTAGCCAGCTGTGATGGCACATGCCTGTAATCCCAGCTACTCGGGAGGCTGAGGCAGGAGAATCGCTTGAACCCAGGAGGCGGAGGTTGCAGTGAGCCAAGATCACGCCATTGCACTCCAGCCTGGGCAGCAAGAGCAAAACTCCATCTAAAAAAAAAAAAAAAAAAAAAAAAGACATTTGCTGTCCTTGATTTAAAAAAAAAATAGTTAATTCACTGGTATTCAGTTAGGTGATACACTAAAAATTTTTAATTCTAGATACCCTTCCCCCTACTAACTCAAAAAAAGTTTGGATTTCCTTTCTCTGCCACCAGTAAGCATCAGGGAAAAGGAACTTTTTTTTTTTTAACTTTAAGTAATTCAGTGAGAAAGGCAAATGACCCTGGTAATTATTAGCTGGTATATTCTAGTGATGATTAGAAAAGGTGCTTCTGGGTGATTTTGCAGTTTTGCATTTTTCATTTCACTCCCATTACTCATTTCAGAAACACATACTGAGTGTTTGCATTACCCAAAGCCTTGTGCGCGCTACTGAATTAGCTGGGAGAGACAGTGACCCAAAACAAATAAGATACTATCCTCCCTCAGAATGACCAGACACATGCACAAGTTCAAAGGGGTGAATAGAGAAGATTTCACAGAATAGGTGGCATTGACTGACAGGTGCACAGGATTTCAATAGGGAGAAATTGAGGAGAGAAAACATTCCAGGCTGAATAAATGAGCAATGGGGTAAAACTAAGGAAGTATAAGTCATGTACAGGGAACTTCAAATGGTTGAGTTTACTTAGATTTTATTTAGAAAATACTTAGAGGAACAGAGGAGATGAGAATATAAAAGCATATGGGTCACAGGCATAAAAGTCCTAGACAGTGGGAAGCCACGGGAGGCTTTTTAGCCAGGAACTTCCCCTCGGAGCAATCTGCTGATAAAAATCTGTTAGTGGTGTGCAGGATGGATGAAGGAATCCAGGTAGCTGTAATTTATGCATATAGTGGTAGTGGTGGGAGTATAACTTGGTAACGCTTTGGATGGAAGATAAGAGATGCCTATGAGTTCAACTGTCAGTGAAGAAAAGACCAGACTAGATGACCAACAAGATCCTTTAAATGAGGGATGAAGGAAAAGGAAGAGTAAAGGATGACTCAGAAGCCTCGCCCCATCTGTACTACGCAAACCATTAGGGAGGCCAAGGGGAGAAAGGATATGGCAAAGACTGATGGTGTAGTCAGTTTGAGTCATGTTGTGGTGAAGGGAACAGCTAGTACAGCAGGTGTAAATGTTCAGCAGGCAATTACTACTAGTGGTGGAAGCCCAGATTGTGACATTACTGAGAAGTGATGATGGAAACCTTTGTGGTAGATAAGATCACTAAAGAAGAATATTTAGAGAGTAGTGAGCCAAGGGCAGAGCTCTGAGCAAGGCGTGTAGTTAGATAAGATAAAGGAAATGGGAAGGCAGAGCATGCAGAGCCACAGAGCCACAGCTGCAGTGTTTATGACAAGGAGGGACTGATGGCCAAATGCTGTTAGTACAGCTTGTCAAGAACTCAAGAACTCCTGGATCTACTTTCTCGTAGAGACAGTTTCATATGGTGACACGAACATGGGTTTGGAAATCAGACAGGACAAGAATCTTCTCCTAACCTGAGTTTCCTCATCTGCAAAATGCAGAACTATATGTAAAATACATGGTCCAAGTAAACTTCTTAAAGTCTTAATAAGAGCATCCTAAGACACTGTTTACAGAGCATGGCATATTTATTCCTGGTTTTCTTGGTCCTTTCCCCTCCCCTCCCCTCCTATCTTCTCTCTCTCTCTTTTCTCTCTGTCTCTCTCTCACAAACACACAACCTCTTCAGTTACTTTACATCTGTGTTTTTAACACTTCCATTGTATATATTGTCACCAAAATCCTAATTACATGATAAATTAGGATAACATTGTTTTAAATGTTGGTTCCAAATATAACCCTCAGATCCACTAATGTCAGTAAACAAAAGGCAAACAGGCCTTAAAGCAGATAAAGTCTAGTTCTAAACATGTCATTCTTAGCCAGGAGTGGTGGCACGTGCTTGTAATCCCAGCTACTTGGGAGGCTGAGGTGGGAGGGTCACTTGAGCCCAGGAGTTCAATACCAGTCTGGGCAATACAGCAAAACATCCTCAGTTAAAAAATGACAACATGACATGCTTTATGAATGAGCAGAAACTTTAGAATCTAATGATGAAATCAGCTTTTATTTCAAGAATAAACTCTGAAAAACAAACGCAAATAAGCAATTAACTGTTAGACCCTAGTGTGCTCTAACCTGTAAGAAAATGTCAGCTTTTCAGAGAAGTCACTTTTTGGGCTGTTAAGTTATCAAAATCTTGACTTGATAAAGCTCATGAGGGCTTTGCATATAACTAGTGCTCAATAATATGTTATTGATGACAACTTTCTCTGGTGGCCACTGTCCAAATGATAAGAGTTTATCTCCAGCTGACACTCGCACCACGGAGCTACCTGAGTGCCCCCTCTGCCTCCCCCGCTTGCCTCTCCTCTTCTCCCTTTATTAGGGTGACCACTGTGCTTTGTGTCCTATACCTCTTACTCTGTATTTCCAGCACCTGATACAGTGCCTTGAATATTCACATCAGATGCTCCATAGGTATTTGTTGAAAGAGTAAAATGGATGGATCATTCTAGATACTGAGAGAATTACTGTGTTTTTTTGTTTGTTTGTTTGTTTGTTTGTTTTTTAAGATCAGTTCCCAGCACGTATTACTGGGTGAACAGGAGTGGGGATATATGAAGTAATTAGCAACAATCTTAGTGTCATTAAGAAAACAAGAAAATGTTAACTTGTAACATAGATGAAAGGGTATTGAGAATCGTTGAGAGGTTTTTCCTTTCAGTCTGGTTAAAATTTAGAGAGGAGGGAGAAAAAAGTGTTCTGGGATAAGGAACTGAGAAATAGCTGAATGGAAAAGGTTCATATTAGCAAAGTGTCAAACTTAAATATTTAACATAGAACAGAATCAGATTTAGAAAATATTAAGAGTTTGCTGTCTTTGAGGCAATATGTGTTTTCCTACACGTGTGTTTTTACTTACATTAGTTTTATAGTCTCTCAGAAACTCTGAAATAGGTGACATTATCCCCACTTACAGATTTAAAACTGAGGCTCAAGGAGACCTAGTCACTTGCAGAGATCACTCAGCCTGTGAAGGCCACAGTGTGACCCAGGTGTGATCCTGGTCCGTCATCCTCGAAGCTCGGTCCGTGTCCTTTCCGCTATGTCAGGTCTTGGCTTGTGTCCAGTTTGGATTGGATTTCATTGAGAGGCAGATAGTTTCTTAACAGGTTGTGAGATAATATAAGCCATGTGGTAGAAATATTTTGTCATTTTAATACATTTGTAGTGGATGTTGTTTTTAAAACGACAAGACTGCCTAAAAAGATAGTGATTTGTTTAAAAAAGGGAACATTCTTTTTGTCTATTCTTCCTACTTCTTTTCTTTTGGTTCTATTTTTTCTCTCTCTTTTCTTTCCTCTCTCTCCTCTGTCCCCATAATTATTTTTCAATAATACAAAACCGAACTTAAATGTTTGTTCTATTTATCAAAAGATGTTTTCTCCAAATTATTTTTTATCACATTTTTAAAGTGACTCAAAATGTTAAAAGGATGTTTACTGGGTGAATTTACTTCTCTGAATTTCCCTCTCAGGAGAGTCTTTTGCATCTGTAGTTTTGTGTATGTAGGTCTCTGCAGAATTTCTCCTGCTCTGAGGGGCCTACCATAAATCTTAAAGCAATGGCTCCCCCTCCTTCCCCTCATTCAGTTTTAAAGTTAAACAGAAATGACACCTGGTGGCAAGTCTGTTCAATTACAAGTTTTGTTTTGTTTTGTTTTTTGTTTTTTTTGCAGTTTATTGCAGTAAAAGAATAAAGAGTGTTACAGGTTTGGAGAGCTTAAGCTAAAGAATGTGACTGAAATAAATTATAACCTCAAACACATTTTACAAGATATACCCAAAGCAGTGTCCAAATACTATCCACTTTAATTTTCTTTAGTTATCAGCAGGATTATATATCTAGTGCTAATTTATTACCTACATTGCCTCATGAAAATGATTCTTCTTCCATCACTTATCAAGGGAAATCTAAGTACTGGCTTTTGTTTCACTTATATATTCTGGATAGTAAGGGGTTTCAAATTACTCTCCATCCTATTGTCTTACTTTGGTTTTATTAAGGTGTTTTCATCTTACATATTAAATCCATCAATCTTGTTTCTGATATCCTCCATTTCTTCAAGAGTAAGCCTCCCTTGTTTAAAATAAGTATGCAAAAAGACCCTTAGTCTATTTCGTAGTTGACTTGAATTTTTTTTGCATTGTATAGAATGGAGTACAGTCTACAGTTAAATCTTCATAATGATACACTTGAAAATAGCTTGAAAACTAATATTTGTACTTGGTATATAATCATGTTTTATCTTAAGTCCTCCCAGAAACCCACGAAGTAGGTACTAATATTATCCTCATTTAACAGATGAGGAAAATGAGACCACAACACTAGAAAGAGGTGGAGCATAAGATGGGAACCACGGCCTCCTGACCGCCTGTGCCGTGCTGTGTCTGTAGAAAGCGTTGACCCACTGACCTTTGTTAAATATTGAGTCCTTCTGTTTTGTTACTTCTGGATTGGCTTATTATTTTTTTTATTCTTTAGTCACCTTGCAGCTAGCTAGCGTCAACTCAAAGGAACTTCTGGATTGCTTTAGTAAGCTCTTACAAACATTTGAGTATTTGCTTTTAGGAATTTCAGTAATATGCCATTGTTTAATTTTTCTGTTTTGAAGCCAGTATCCTTCATTTACATGTCACCTTGAAATAGTTTTCAACTTTTTAAATAAATTCAGGGGGGTACATGTACAGGTTTTTACACAGGTATATTGCATGATTCTGAGGCTTAGAATATGAATGAGTTCCCATCTCCCAGGTAGTGGGCATAGTAAGTACCCAATAGGCAGTTTTTTAGCCCTTGACCCTCTCCTTCCCTCCCCCATCTTGTATTCCCGTGTCTGTTATTCTCATCTTTGTGTCCGTGTGTACTCAGTGTTTAGCTCCCACTTACAAGTGAGAACATGATGTGTTTGGTTTTCTGTTTCTGCATTAGTTTGCTTAGGATAATGGCCTCCAGCTCCATCCTTGTTGCTGCAAGGGGACATGATTTCGCTCTTTTTTTGGCTGCATAGTATTCTATGGTGTATATGTACCACATTTTCTTTATCCAATCTGGCATTCATCAACATGTGTTTGCTTGAAATAGATTTAAAATCAGTACCATCATTATCTTTAATTAGGTCTGTTCCAAAGTTATACTTGACTTTTACATATTTTCCCTTTTTCTTTTAAAGTAACTCAGACATTTCTAGTAAATCACAATGGTACTAAGGTAGATCTTATTCTGATCCCTAGTTTTATGTTTATTTTCCTAAGAAATGATTTTATTTTTTTATTTTTATTTTTTTGAGACAGAGTTTCGCTCATTGCCCAGACTGGAGTGCAATGGCGTGATCTCGGGTCACCACAACCTCCACCTCCCGGGTTCAAGCGATTCTCCTGCCTCAGCCTCCGGAGTAGCTGGGATTACAGGCATGCGCCACCACGCCTGGCCAATTTTGTATTTTTAGTAGAGACAGGGTTTCTCCATGTTGGTGAGGCTGGTCTCAAACTCCCAACCTCAGGTGATCCGCCCGCCTCGGCCTCCCAAAGTGCTGGGATTACAGGTGTGAGCCACTGCCTCTGGCCCTGAGAAATGATTTTACACTAACATCACTAAGTTTAACATCACTGAGTTACTGGTTTTAAATAACTGTTCATATTAATCTATTCTCCAAGCTTAAATTTTTAAGAATTTTAATCTATAAAGATGTCATTTATTCAAATGCCTCATGTATGTACAGGACATAGCAGCAGCTCAAAGGAATGAGCAGTTCTCCCTGGAGGCCAGAAAGGCTTCAAAGATAAGGAGCCCTCCGCCCAGGTTTTAGGAGATACATTTCGGATTCAGCTCAACTTTGAAAGTACCCTTCACATTCAGACATAACTCTGTAGTATCATTTGGATTGTTGTTTTTAAAATGCCTAACGTGTACCCAGTGCTCTCTTGTGTGAGAGTTGATAAGAGGACAGATGGCAGCAACAGGAAGAGACAATGTCCAGGTTTACTCACGTATAAAAACCCTACACAAGAAGTGCTCAGGTTTACTTACGAAAATCCTACACAGGGCCGGGCATGGTGGCTCACGCCTGTAATCCCAGCACTTTGGGAGGCCAAGGCAGGTGGATCACGAGGTCAGGAGGTCGAGACTATCCTGGCTAACATGGTGAAACCCCGTCTCTACTAAAAATACAAAAAATTAGCCGGGCGTGGTGGCGGCCGCCTGCATAGTCCCAGCTACTCCTGAGGCTGAGGCAGGAGAATGACGTGAACGCGAGAGGCGGAGCTTGCAGTGAGCCGAGATCGCACCACTGCACTCCAGCCCGGGCCACAGAATGAGACTCCCTCTCAAAAACAACAAAAAGAAAAAAAGAAAACCCTACACAGGAAAGTTTTATATGGCTATTAAAGATCTGGGCATCTTCAAATCAAGAACCAAATTCTAGAATTTGATTAACATTCTAAATTCGATTTTATAAATTTAGAAAATTCCAAATCTGATTCTAGAATTTGATTCTTGACTTCAAGATGTCCAGATCTTAGTTACTAGCCATATAAAACTTTCCTGTCTAGGATTTTTTGTGAGTAAACCTGGACATTGCCGCTTCCTGTTGTTTGTTATCATCTGTCCTCTCATCAACTCTCGCAGGGCAGCACTGGGTACACGTTAGGTATTTTACAGACGAAAGAATCACTTAGCAAGGTTGAATGGCTCAAGAGCTGACAAAAGCAGAATTTACAAAGGATGCATAGTTTCATGTTGTTCCTGTGAATGTTCTCTGTCTAGGTTGGTGACCAGATTGTTGAAATCAATGGGGAACCTACACAAGGAATCACACATACTCGAGCAATTGAGCTCATTCAGGCTGGCGGAAATAAAGTTCTTCTTCTTTTGAGGCCAGGAACTGGCTTGATACCTGACCATGGTAAGTAAAGTAGCCCACTAGTAGCTACTTAGTAGCTTACTTACTTACTGGGGGGGGGGGGGGGGTGGGCAGAAGAAAAATGAATATATATTTGCAGAGGATAGATATTTTACTAGTTAATTCAGAGATGAATGCTGGAACCATGAAAAGCTAGTTACATAGCAGAGTTATCATAAATAGTATTAGAAAACAAGTGACTTAGGCAGGACTTTCGTTGGAATGGAATGTATTTTAAATTTAATCAGAAAAAACATAGTTGTTTTTGTAGAAAAATGTGCCTATAAAAAAAGTGTATTAGAGGCAAACAATTTAAATATCATAAAAAACATTTTAAATCTCTGCAAAATATCCCAGCTTTTCCCCTTACTTAGCTAATTACACATTACCAACCAATATTTTTATTTCTGTAAAGCAAGATAAGTTTATATTATAATGAATATGTAGCATGAAAACTTTAGGCTTTTCTGGTGACTCGGCAAAAACAAGTTGCTATCACCCTACCTGGAGACACGGAGTTGGACCTGAGACCATGTCTGTCTTGTATTAATGTTAAACTTCCTGGGTTTCCATTGCATGTTTTGAAATATCATGGTATTTGAAAGTCACTGTTTTTTGAGTGCACTATTCTAGAAATAAAGGCAGTACGACACCCACACAGTACTTGCCTCATCTAGCTCCCCACTCCCTGCCCTACCCGACCCCACCACTTTTGAGGGATAAGTGTAGACATAACCTCCTCCAGTAGCCTTCCAGCTTATGATTCTCTGACTGTATTATCTTCCACCATCTGCTTGTAAATCATACGTTCCCAGTGACATCTTTGCTAACTGCACTGATTTTTTTTTTCACATAGTCCTAGGCTTTTTCTCTTCCCTCTTCAGGTTTGGCTCCTTCCGGTCTGTGCTCCTACGTGAAACCCGAGCAACATTAAGGCTTTCAGGGCTTTTCTTGGTCTTTCCTTAAAAAGACTTGGTAAATTTGCATGTCTTGTAAATCACTTTCTTCTTTTGTTTTCTTTTAAATTAAAAATGATGCTATTAAATACATCTATTTCTATCTTCTGCACTTTTCAGTCTCCTTTTGACATTAAATTTGACAGCTTAATGCAAGAAAATTATTTACAAATGCCCATGAGCCTCATTCTGGTTACCACAGTTTGGTTTCCTTTATTAATTAGTGATTTTGCCATATCCTAAACTATATCAATTCATAATAATTAGTGAGCTTCTTGGGCCAGGTAATTTGGTTCAACTTTATAATTTGTAAGTTCTAATTGGGCTTTACTAATAGAGAATTTACAGAACATATATTATCTCACTAATTATATGTAATTGGAAAAAAATGAATATTATTTTATGTATATAAACCTATCCTTTATGTATGAACAGATGTTTATACACATCTGCCTATATTTGTAGAGAGATATGTTGTAAACATACACAAACTGTATAAAATACAGGCTTTTTAAGCAGTTAGTACAATTCAAATGGCTGTCAAAGTTCAAACGTACTGTTCCTATTTGTAATTCTAAAAATAATGTTCCATTCAAATCACTTTTTTAGGTGATTGGGATATTAATAATCCTTCATCGTCAAATGTGATTTATGATGAACAGTCACCATTACCCCCATCTTCACATTCTGCTTCCATATTTGAAGAGTCTCACATGCCAGTAATTGAAGAATCTTTAATGAGAGTTCAGATATGTGAAAAGGCAGAAGAATTAAAGGACATTGTGCCTGAAAAGAAAAGCACTTTAAATGAAAATCAACCTGAGATAAAGCACCAGTCTCTTCTCCAGAAAAATGTGAGTAAGAGGGATCCACCCAGCAGTCATGGGCACAGTAACAAGAAAAATCTATTAAAAGTAGAAAATGGTGTTACACGAAGAGGTAGATCGGTTAGTCCCAAAAAGCCAGCCAGTCAACATTCAGAGGAACATTTGGATAAGATTTCTAGTCCTCTAAAAAATGACCCCAAAAGAAGACCCAGAGATCGATCCCTCAGCCCCAGCAAAGGGGAAAATAAAAGTTGCCAGGTCAGCACCAAGGCAGGTTCTGGACAAGATCAGTGCAGAAAAAGCAGAGGTCGGTCTGCCAGTCCAAAAAAGCAGCAAAAAATTGAAGGAAGCAAAGCTCCATCAAATGCTGAGGCCAAATTGTTAGAGGGTAAGAGTCGAAGAATAGCAGGCCATACAGGCAATAATGCGGAGCAGATCCCAGATGGGAAGGAAAAATCAGACGCCATCAGGAAAGATGCAAAGCAGAATCAGGTGGAAAAAAGCAGAACAAGGTCTCCAGAGAAAAAAAGCAAAAGAATGGTTGAGAAATCTCTTCCATCCAAAAAGACTAATAAGACTACAAGTAAAGAAGTATCTGAAAATGAAAAAGGAAAGAAAGTAACCACAGGAGAAACAAGTTCTAGTAATGATAAAATAGCAGAAAATATCCAGCTATCAGAAAAGAGGCTGAAGCAAGAACCTGAAGAGAAGGTAGTTTCAAACAAAACAGAAGATCACAAAGGGAAAGAACTAGAGGCAGCTGACAAAAACAGAGAGACTGGAAGGTTCAAACCTGAAAGTAGTTCTCCAGTTAAGAAAACACCGATAACTCCAGGGCCCTGGAAGGTGCCAAGTGGAAATAAAGTCACAGGCACTATTGGTATGGCTGAGAAACGGCAGTAACCTTTAGTATAAAACAAAAACAAGTTGTAATCTTTTCTTACAGCAGCATTTTTCAAGAAAAAGCCTTTTTTTTCCCCAGATATTCTGAAACAGATAAGTACATGTTAATGTGAGCATCAAGTTACCTAGGCTGCATGAAGGGCCTTTAGGATTGCTAAGAACCAACTGTCCCCCTGGCCGGCTGCCCTCCCTCGCACTCAGGAAGGAGCTGCATCCACATGCTCATCTGACCCGCCCTGCTCAGGCTGCCCAGCTCATCTTCACGAGTGTCTGAACAAATGACATATGTTGATATTAACAGTGTGGTCACAACTCACTTCGTATTTGTGCCAAGTTATCTACTGTATCATGTCTGTTTTTATCCTTCTTGTTCAGCTATTTCCACAGTAATGAAAAAGTTAGGTTTGGCTTGGAAGTTGATGTTCTCAATAGCATGTTGCATGTTTACAGAGAGAAATATGTGAGTCCTTGCAGAAGACGAGACTGTTAACTCATCGTTAAAGATGGCAGTTGTCGTCTAACAGCTACTGATGATGTCCCACTTTAAAAATAAAACCCCCAAACATCACTACTTTAAGGAAAAAAATGTAGTCCAATACTGATGCTTTCTTACAGCTTTTTATTTTAATTTGGCTGGATAAGTTGTTTCAAATAACTGTTAAAAGATATTACTTACAATTGAATGTTCAAAATGAGAAAGTACTTTAAGCAATAGAGTTCATCTCTTGCTGTGTTATCCAACCTCGATGTATACTTACAGCATCTAGGTCACGCTTTTTATTTCACTTAAAATTTAATTATGAAACCATAAAGAAGCATGTGGAAATAGTGTTTATTGCTCTTTGAAGAAAAACCGCCAACTATTTCTGGATATTTTGGCTGTACCTACTACTAAAGTCATTAGTCTTTAATACATAATACATATTTGAAAAGTAAAATTATTATATAGATTATGTGAGGGACTTAATCATGAAACCAGTTTCACAGTCCAGGTACCAACTCTTCTGGTAGCAGGTGCACAAGCTTGGGTGTTTAGAAACAACCTGTGTAGGGTATGCTGCCCAGCAAGTGAGGACAAATGTGTAGACAGTACTTACTGGATCTTATTTAACTTTTAGCTACATTAACTTTCTTATTTAAAAACAAGAAAGGGAGACTAAACATCTGCTTAGCTTGTACACATTTTCAGAATTCTTTTTAAAAGTCTAGTTAAAGATGTTTCTTAGAAGTTGGAGACTGTTAACGTCCATAAAATAGATCCAGGTTTTTCAGTTCCCTGAAGCAGCATTCGGTAGCACCTATATAAATAAAGGCACCTTCGGAGAATAGACTATTCCATGGAGTGTGTGAACACACTTGTTATGTCACCTGGGTTCATCCTGTTGTGAAGCACATTACGTCCAGGTCCTTCCCTCTGGGAGTCTGACTGTGAAACTCTTTAACCCAACAACTGTATTAGCCCCTGTAGATAAGACGTGCTTCCCAGAGTGAGATTTTTGAAATCCCCTTTTCATCCAGAACTATATTTACCCACCTATTGTAACTATTCAAATAGAGCAAAATTAGGAGGCTTGATAAATGCTAAGAATTTAGTACCACAGAAATTATTTATTTCCCTGTAGTCCACAATTAGTGATAACAAATCCTATTTTTGTTAACTGTGACATAACTTTGATGTCATATGTTGTCCTATGTGATTCTTCCTTTCTAAGTAACCTCTGTCCTGATTATATACTGACTTAGCAATGTGGCCTTGGAATGCTGAGCAAAATGTGGATGTACTGGTTGTAAATGTTTATATATTGTACAGTACCTTTATATATACACTTGAGGTTCTGATTAGAGAAAGATCTGTAAATTGCTCGTTATTTTTTATATAGATATTAAAAAAAAAAAAAAAAAAAAAAAAAACAAGAGTTCCTGGCCTGCATTTCTGTGACTGTCACATTGGTTCAATGTTGCTTTCTACTGGTGGAGCAAGGTTCCATCATAGTCTGAGTCCGCAGACAGATTTTGTCCCTCCAAGTAACAAACAAACATTCAAAGTCCTAAAATCAGGAAGATTCTTATAATAATGATTTTACCTGTATAGCTACACTTCTTTTATTTACACATAGAGTTTGAAATTGTTTAGAGTTGAATATCATTATACCCATTTTTCATCTTTCATTGTAAAGAAAATAGCTTTGGATAAATAATTTGCTACTAAAAATCCTTTCTTACACTGTTGGGGAGAGAAGAAAATTTCTTACTGGAAATTCACCTACTAGACATTTATAATGGCTATAGTAACATAAGTCCAGTTACCACAAGGTCACAAAATTCCATTTCAGCAGACTAACGATCCACATTATCTTTAAAGGTCATTTATTTAGTTTTATACTTACTTTTAGAATAAAGCATTTTGATTTAACTCGGTATGAAAAGTACCTAAAACCTACTTCAAAACCATGGTAAATTTTATACTCTTAAGGTGAAATATAAATTCCCACCTACCATTGCAAGAACTCATACTAAAAGTAAACCCACGGCCGGGCACAGTGGCTCATGCCTGTAATCCCAACACTTTGGGAGGCCAATGCAGGCGGATCATTTGAGGTCAGGAGTTCGAGAGCAGCCTGGCCAGCATGGCAAAACCCTGTCTCTACTAAAAATACAAAAATTAGCCGGGTGTGGTGGCGGGTGCCTGTAATCCCAGCTACTCAGGAGGCTGAGGCAGGAGAATTGTTTGAACCCAGGAGGCGGAGGTTGCAGTGAGGCAAGATCACACCACTGCACTCCAGCCTGGCTGACAGACGAGACTCCATCTCAAAAAACAACAACAACAAAAGTAACCCAAACTTCTAGTTCCCAGACACCACAGTGAAGATGTGCCATAGCAGAGGCTGCGGAAACTGGCAGTAAAATCGTTTTGTTGTTTTAGTGAACATATTTCCTTACTGGTCACAACAGGGAGAAAAGCTTTGAGATACTATTACATTGTCTCACTAGTGAGATGAGAAGGCTAAGATCCTATGATGTTGTCTTCTAGTTACATCAGTCTTGGGCCAGGTAGCTTTTGAACAGGGTCAACTCTTATTTCAGAAGTCTTGGACCCAGAAAGGCACTTGGCTTTTTACTCAACATAAGAACACCTTGTTATTTCCCTTTTTAATAGCAAGATTTAAAAGAGAAGCAAATGTAGTCATGTAGAAGCCAAATGCTTTTAAACATGTAGACAAAGAATTTTATGTTTAATATGTCCACTATTCAAAGAGTAAGGATTTAATAAGGCAAGGAGTATTCAGATTAAACTGTATTTAACAGTCTCACTAATGACTTCCAGGAAGCTGTATTTGACACTTAGTCCACAGTGGAGCTAAGGAACATTGATATAAATAAACTTGTTACAAAATGTGACATTTCAGTCTGGTAAGAGAAATACATCAGAGCAACTTATTACATCATCATGGCATGCTCCAAGGCCTAAAAACTATTTGTGCTTTTGAAACAATAACCTTTATTTATTCAGGTGGCTCTTTTCTGGTTCTATTAGAGTTTATCGGGAATATGATGACTTGTTTAAAGCATGTCATTATTACATGGAATCTATAATTTTTGCTTTTAGTTAGCTGAATTACAACATTGATAGGCAAGTAGCCTTAAGAATTATAAAGCCAGGCATGGTAGTATACACCTGTAGTCCAAACTACTCAGGAGGCTGAGCTGGGAGGATCACTTGAGCCCAGGAGTTTGAGTCCAGGCTGGATGACACAGTGAGACCCCATCTCAAAAAAATTTTTTTTCTCTTGAGATGGGGTGTCACTCTGCCACCCAGGCTGGAGTGCAGTGGTGCGATCTTGGCTCACTGCAACCTCTGCCCCTCTGCCTTCTGGGTTCAAGCAATTCTCCCACCTCAGCCTCCCCAGTAGCTAGGACTACAGGTGCGCACTACCACACCTGGCTAATTTTTGTACTTCTTGGTAGAGATGGGTTTTCACCATGTTGGCCAGGCTGGTCTCAAGCCCCTGACTTCATGTGATCCGCCCACCTCAGCTTACCAAAGTGCAGGGATTACAGGTGTGAGCCACTGCGCCCAGCCAAAAAAGAACTTTTTTTTTTTTTTTTTAGTAGTATAAGAAGGGAGTATGAAGGCTTATAAAGAGAATTCTGGACAGGCGCGGCGACTCACACCTGTAATTCCAGCACTTTGGGAGGCTGAGGTGGGTGGATCAGGAGATCAGGAGATCAAGACCATCTTGGTCAACATGGTGAAACCCCATTTCTACTAAAATACAAAAAATTATCCAGGTGTGGTGGTGCATGCCTGTAATCCCAGCTACTTGGGAGGCTGAGGCAGGGGAATCGCTTAAACCCAGGAGGCAGAGGTTGCAGTGAGCTGAGATTGTGGCGCTGCACTCCAGCCTGGTGACAGAGCAAGACTCTGTCTAAAAAAAAAAAAAAAGAGAGAATTCTATTTAATAGAAAACCCTGAATCTTTCTCATTTATACATTAAAATAGGAAAACATAGCCAAGAGCTTTAATTTAGCCTAAACCTATATTTTGACAAATAATCCTGTGGGTATTTTGCAATATTGCATTCAAGTAAAGCTTAACTATTAGCAAATACACAAATCAAGAGACATATTTTGCCATTAATAAAAGATAACTGGCTGGGCATGGTGGCTCACGCCTGTAATCCCAACACTTTGGGAGGCCAAGGCAGGTGGATCATGAGGTCAGGAGATCGAGACCATCCTGGCTAACACAGTGAAACCCCGTCTCTACTAAAAATACAAAAAATTAGCCAAGCGTGGTTGCACACACCTGTAGTCACAGTTACTCAGGAGGCGGAGGCAGGAGAATTGCTTGAACCTGGGAGGTGGAGGTTGCAGTGAGCCAAGATTGTGCCACTGCACTCCAGCCTGGGTGACAGAGTGAGACTCCGTCTCAAAAAAATTAAAAAAAAAAAAATAGAAAAATAAAAGACAACCATTTATTAACTAGAGTAATACCCTATTACACCTTATAGGCTCAGGATATGCTGCAGGAAAGGTACAGAATTATTGCACATTTGTGAAACTCACACTTCACTATTCAACATGGGTCCCCGTATAACTGCAGGGAGTAACAGATTACTAAACTAGCCAGTACATGAATAGATTAGGTTTAATGAATTAACTTGATATTCCCAAGTGACACACTGTATTTGGGAGAGAAGCTCATCTAGCCTATTATAAGTGTGTAGATCTAAAAGTTTTCAAACATAAATTTCATTAATTTGAAAGGTTATTTTTATATTGCATAGGTCCACTTGCCTCTAAATAAAATGAACCTAAAATAAAAACAAACTCATACTTTGTGAAACATCCTGGTATTTAGAATTTTTCTACCTGTCTCTGAAAGTCAGAACCATACTCCAGTGAGGCAATTATTTGGTTATTTAACTTCTCAAAGTGTTTATATTATACACAGGTCATATTGTACATATTTAGAAAGTCTGTAGATCAGCAGTCCCCAACCTTTTTGGCACCAAAGAGTGATTTCATGGGAAGCAATTTTTCCACGGACCTGGGGGCAGGGGGAGGGGGTGCAGGGAGGGGATGGTTTCAGGATGATTCAAGTGCATTACATTTACTGTGCACTTTATTTCTATTATCATTTCATTGTAATATATAATGAAATAATTATACAACTCACCATAATGTAGAATCAGTGGTAGCCCCGAGCTTGTTTTCTTGCAACTAGACGTCCCATCTGGAAGTGACGGGAGACAGTGACAGATCATCAGGCATTAGATTCTCATAAGGAACACGCAGCCTAGATCCTCACATGCACAGTCCACAATAGGGTTTGCGCTCCTCTAAGAATCCAATGCTGCTGCTGATCTGACAGAGATGGAGCTCAGGTAGTAATGCAAGCAGTGTGAGCAGCTGTAAATACAGATGAAGCTTCACTCTCCCCTGCAGCTTACCTCCTGCTGTTTGGCTAGTGGGGGGTGTGGGTGGCTGGGGACCCCTGCTGCATATTATACACCCAACTTTCAGAGAGAGAATTTTTCCCAACTGCAGATTATAAAATTAAGTCAACAAGTATTTTTCTTACCCTTCTATGGTTATTACTATTCCAACTAAATGTGTGAATGGCCTAATCTAATTGTTTTTACATCTTGGTTTAATTTCTCGGTAACAAGTAATTAACACCAAAATCTCATTTCTTTTTTGAAATCAAAACAAAAGCCCAAGTTCCTAGAAATTACTATACAGGGATAAATGAAGCGCTGAAGGTGGGAGAACCATGAAATTACAGTCAATTCTTGGACAACATGGGTTTGAACAGTGTGGGTCACTTATATACAGGTTTTTTTTCTGTAAGTATATTGGAAAATTTTTTTGAGATTTATGACAATTTGAAAAAAGAAACCATGTAGCCTAGAAATACAGAAAAATTAAAATGGTGTGTAGATACTAGCCTATTTTATCATTTACTATAAAATACACACAAATCTATTATAAGAAGTTAAAATTTATAAAAACATACAAACACAAACTGTACATGGCACCATTCACAGTTGAGAGAAATGTAAACAAAGATACAGTATTAAATCATAACTGCATAAAATTAACTGTAGTACATGCTGAGCTACTATAATTATTTTGTAGTTACCTCCTGTTGCTATTGTGGTGAACTCAAGTGTCGAAAGGTCTGTTTAAAACACCATGTGATGCTAACCATCTCTGTGTGGGCAGGTTCATCTCTTCATAAACCGTGGATCACAGTAAAAAGTGATCCCTTGCGGTTCCTGCATATTTTTCGTGATTAGTGCAATACTGTAAACCTTGAGGACATAAAAACTGCAAGACCCATAAGAAGTACCACCAGTGATAGAAGTGCTCCCAAGAAGCACAGAGG